ACCTGGATGATTTTAAACTTTTTACTTTTAAATTCAGATAAAGCAGAAAATTTTTTTTTTTTTTGCTTCAGAGTCTTTGAAGATAAAAGGTAAAATGGGAGCTTAAGTTCAGTTGTCAGGCTCCTCTCCTGTAACAAATTTTAATATCTGAGGTAGCTACCCTATGTACTGTTAAGACTAAGCTTAAAACTTTCATATTTGATTAAGCTTATAGTTAGAGTGTATCAAGTTAAACTGAGCTATATCTATAGTTTTGCTGCTTTAGGCTTACATTGCTGGAGGACATAGGGACCACTTTTCAGCAAGCTGCATTTGCATTCATTCTCAAATATTTATTTATTTTTTTAATTTTAACTTCTAAGATAATGTCCTCTAGGGCTTTTCTCGTCATAGTAGCTTCATCTGAACTACCACCCTATTTTTGGCTGTGACACCATCTTGAAGGGAGGCATTCGCTTGCCTCCTGCCATCGACAATGTCTTGAATGAATGATACAGTTGGGTTTGTGCTTAGTGGTGCTTTTCTACTAGACTTTGCAATGTGCTTTTTTTTCTTTTTTGACATTGAAAGGTTTTAACTGTCTCTTTCATGGACAGAGCCACCTATGGAGCTAGTTTACCCTTAGCTTCTCTAACATATAAAGTATTTATAGATCAGTGCTTCTATGTTCCTTTTCTTTCGTCTGCTTCTCTTTTTGCTCTTTGCAAGGGATTGCTGCAGAGTAAATGACAAAATGTCTAATGTGGCAAATTGCTCATCCAGGAGGAGGGAATCCTGCAAAGTCAATGACTGCAATGCAATCAGCTGGGTTTCTTTAAATAGAAAGCTCTTATCCTATCTGTCTGTATGATTTGATTAAGTTGTCTTTGTAAATTGCTTTAGATGGCGTTTGTTGAATTGAAGTTAAAATTGAAACATTTTCCCATTAAAAAGGGAGAACTAATTAAAAACAAGAAGAAAAACAAACATCTCCCTTGGTGCTCTTCCTATACAACTTTAATGCGTTTATGTCAGCTGTATGTTTGTTTGTCTATATGTAGTACATCATCACCAAAACAAATTCTGCATGTTTGTAAAACTCTACTTGGCAATGAAGCATTTCTGAATCTGAAGAAGGTATTTCATCTTGTTTGTTACTTAGTTTGTTGGCACTAAACTTAAAGATCTTGATTTTAAACCCAATAAAATCCTTACATTTATTACAGATAAACGGTAATGAAACTGAAAGACCTTAAAAGGTAAAAAAGGTTGTCTCTTGCTTTTATTTAAGAACTAAATTATTGACATTCATCATGTTTTTATTCTAGTTCGTTTAATACTGCAGACACAACAAACTAAAAAAAAAAAAAATAATCAATTAAATCCAACATTTTGCTGGAAAACTGTCATTAAGTACGGTATTCACAAAGTTTTTATCTCAACTTAAACTAAGTCAGCTACTTTCATATGAATTAATTGTGCATGTTATCATGAACTCTTTTCGGTGGTGAAATTGAGAAGCATTTATGAAAATTTCTCCTAAATTCAGGAAAACCTCTTTCTCCTACTGAGTTTAATTCTTTTATGTTGCATCAGTGTCATTTCTCCCAAACTGGAACAAGTTCCCATCTTTTTTTTTTTCTGTTTAATTTGTTTTATTTTATTTGTCTTTCTTTTTAATAAGTATTTTAAAAATGTCCTATACAGTACTTTTTGTCACCTTGGGTGCATACAGTAAGAGATTAATGAAATTTGATTGATTGATTGATTGATTGATTTAACATTAATAATTTGTTGAGCAGAACTGTCAAATCATAACCTTTTTTTATCATTTAATTTTAGATTAAATCAGATTTTGATGTAAGATTTCAATCGAAGTCCAATTCAATCTATAACAATATAACACAATACAGTCAAATTCAGTTGATTGTGTAATACCAATAACTTGTATAATTACTTGTACAATGAGTAAAAGGGTAAAAAGCCCAGCAGAAAGCACCAACTTTTAGAATTTGTTCTAATCCCTTTCTTCCATTAAGCTTTAGGTGACAGTAAAAATGAATAATTTCACTTTAAAAGCTTCCTGCTGGTCCAGGCTCAGTACTCCAAGTCCACCAATTACTAATTTACAATTTCTTAGACTTTATTAAATCTGTTTCATAACCTTTTTTTGTTAATGTCTGAAATTATTCTCCATCATTGTTTTCCAAATATATTTGTGTCACCTACCATTTTTTTATTAACTATCAAATGTGACAAAAAAATTCAATGCTTTTCCCATTGTTATAAAATGACAACATATGGTTGAAAGCGGGTGCGTAATTTGATCAAGATTCTTTCAAGAAAATCTAAATATGAGCAAAAAAGAGAGTAAGAATAAGGAAATGAGCCCTGAAACATGGCTATGCTTGTGTGCAAACATAGAGGAAGAGAATGGGAACAGCCAACAGGAAGGAGAGAGGGAGGGACGGAGCGATGAAAGACGTAACGGGAAGAAAGAGGAAACGACGCAGAGTGATGGAGAAATAGAGAGAAAACAAAAAAAGGGGGAAAAAAATGGATGAATAATTAAACAACCGTTCAAAAGTGGAGAGATGGAGGAATGTAGAGAGGGGGAGGAGAGGGAAAAATGGGCAACACAACTGTGGCATATGGTGCACACAGCATGCAATTAAAATGTATTACTTTAATGTATAAAAATTAAAGGCTGATATTATAAATACATATTTAACATACCTAAATGGTTCTAACTGCTAGTTACTAAAGTTGGTACCTATTCTACCTCTGATTATGACAATCATTTTTAACATTAATCTAAATTACTTGCATTTCATGTTCTCCTGTCTTAGAAATGAACCTCAGTATCCATTACCTTAGCACTTGTAATATAGTGTCAATAATGATTTGGTTCAAATCAATCTTTATTTCCCTCTCTGAAGAATTGTGCTCTCAAATGTTGCATTTTTTTTAATATTATATCTGATTTTATTTCATTTTTTAAAATCTATTGATGCCATTTGACAAGTACTTCTACACAAACTTACAAGGTGAACCAAAAAGGTGAAGATATGAATCCTTCACAAACAGTTTGGTCATCAGCACACGGTGAAAACATAATGATCTCAGCCTTTTTATCCAACGCAATTATTATTTTAATGAAGTCTTATTCATTGAGATAAAAAAAACAGATGGTCCCTTCTCTCCAACAAGCTGCCATTTAACTGTGGCTAGAGAGGAGAATGATATCAGTAAACTAACTGCTGTCATGTAGAAATTACAAGGAAAAACCCATAAAACATGATAGAAATATGTTCTTTTTCATATTACACCCACAGAATCTAGCAAATATGCTATGTAAAGTTATCTAGACCTTTCTTCCAAATCAGAGTTTGTGAAATACCCATTTTTTTATTTTTATTTTTTTTTTTATTAGAAAGCCATAGTTTTAATTCAGGATGTTAGAGTGTTTTTAAAGGATGTTGTGGAAAATTCCTTCTTTCTGTTTTCTTCTGATTTGCTTTTTAAGTTTCCAATTTTAGACAAAGATAATATAATTAAATGTCTATCCATCCATCATCCATTGCCAGTACATCAAAGGGCATAATTACAATTCTTAAAAATATTGTTTTGTTTATTGACGGAGAAATGAGCACCATCAAAGTTTTTTTTCTTTCTCATTCTATGTTCTATCTCAATTGTTTTAATTTAGCTACATTGGAGTTGCCCTTTAAAGTCTTTCCACAACCTGTCAATTAGATTGAAACCCCAAACTTTGACTAGGCCACTCTGGAGCCTTTATTGTTAGGTCATGAAGAGGTGAACTCCCTGCATAACCCGAAGTCACTTCAGAGGGATGGACGTTCCAGGTTGGGACTTTCTGCTCAAGAGCAAAATATGTGGCTCTATCAACAGTGACAAAGTGACGTGTATATTTGGGGTTTTATATTGTGATTCACAACAGACTGAAAGCTTTAAAAATAACTTTTTATCCCATTCGATACACATAGATCTCGTTGATTTTGTTTCTCAAGTTCTCTTAAATTTCAAAAATTCGGCGGAAATTTTTCCTGAGTAAAATGAAATCATACCAAGCTCCCATAACAACCATCTAAGCATATGTTGACTTTAAAAACTAGATTTTCCTTGATATAAAGATTAACTAAGCTCCGTTTTGCAGCTTACCTCACTATGTTGATTCATTGAAGCTAAAAAGTTCTCCTTATGTTAAAGTAGTAAGATGCCTTTGCTCTCATGTTCCTGCCCCATCATTCCACACAATTAGCCTTGATAAACCAGAGACCGTTATTGACTGCAGGATCCCATCTTTCTCTCTCTCACTGTCTCCAACACACACACAGAAAAACTGCAGCCAAGACTCACATGAGCAAACACCAGCCATTTTCAAAAAGTCAGAGGGTATTCAGGTCAGTCTTCCTTTAAGCCATGTTATCACCTTCCAACCATAGATACACACATGATATGCACCGTGAATGCATTAGTCTTTATACACTATGTTTTTGCCGGAACAACACTTAGAAACAAATCATCCCTCTTCAACCACAAGGACACATTAACACCAAACAGCTCATATAAACAGACACACACATAAAGTCTACATGACAATAGGACAGACTAAAAAACATTTGACTGCAAGATGTATAGTGATGCTGAAACACACACACACATTGTTCTCCTCACCCTTTCTCTTCCATCAGACACATTTACACACTCACCAAGAGCTCAAACTGACACACTGTGCATGCAGAGGGAAAGCTCACACATGTCTCTCTCTGCACCCACAAAATGCACTTGACAGCCATTTTCCAAACATGCATGAAGCTGCAGCACACAAACACAGTGACACCTCTAACATCTCACAGCCGCACACACTTCATATAATACTGTCTGCTGTCCACAGCATGAAGCCAACATCAAAAAATGAAACAGAGGGAACAGGGATGGAGGAGGACAACAGTCAATGGAGCAAAAGATAAGAGAAAGAGCGGAAATCCTGCCTTTACCTGCCGCCCGTGAGTGTGTCAGTGTGTGTGTGTGTTCTGCCTCGCACGGCAATGGAGAAAATACTGGAGAGGCTGAGCAATGAGAGAGGAAGAGGAGGAAAACAGGAGGGGAGGAGGAGGGGGTGAGATGTGTGACGAAGGGGGGGGAGGGGAGATGACTCAGAAGGGAGATGGAGAGAAGAAGATGAGTGTTAATTAAAAAGGAGAAGATGGACCAAAGGTTTGGATGAGAGGATAAGGACACGGTGCAGAGGCTGGATGTCCGACAGTGGTGGTAAAAATAGATGATGGGTGGACAGCTTCTTGTCTCCCAGTGTCTCTGCATCTTTATCTTCTGCTGTAGTGGGGTTCACTCTGTATAAATGCAGTTATATAAGCTCCAATCTCCACCACACTCATACATGATGTTCCTCTAAACATCTTTGCTTCTGCTGCTCAGAAAAATGATGATGAATGATAGAAATTGCACTTTCTATTGTGGCAAATGTGTAAAGGAGTATGGTCTCATTTAAGGTGATGGTCAGACGGCTTTTCAATATTGTAACTTTAACCCTAAGATGATAGAAAGAAAAAAATTTCTTTAACCACCAGAATTTCCCCATTGTGGGACAATAAAGGGATTTTCTATTCTATTCTTTTCTATTCTATTACATCTCCTCTCTTTTTTTGGTGTTTTGTCTGCTCCTGCCCTCGAGCTGTGAAGTTAACCCTTTATTTATTCATATAGACCACTGTGTTAGAGCACAAAGAGATATGAGAGAAATGATAAACATGTATAAAACAAATTAAAAGCTGTTCTCTCTTTTGAACAAAAATTAGGCAGTTATTACATCCCTGCAGGGCTTCATGAATCCACCCAGAGGTTGGATGCTTCATCTTTTTTTCTTCCTAGATTAATTAAATTTTTATGCATTTATTTCTACTAATAAGCTAAATATTTCTTTCCTATTTTGGGGAGTTTGTTTTGAAAAAAGATTTTATACTTCTTCCACTTTCAGTATCTTACTCTCTAACAACCCAGCCTGTAATACTTTTGTATGTGAAATCCATTTACAGTCTATGTTTTTCCAGGTTGTTTTATACATTTTATTTTATTCATTTAGGATTATAAACCCATAATAAACTTTAAAGATCCCAGGAAGGATTTTCTTTTTCACTTTAATGCAAGTCTAGCCTTAAAGCCAGCCCAAGGCGTTGCCAAACATAGTTTGTGCTAATGCCCCAGCCTTAAGAAGCTCTCGTCTTTTTTTGTGATCAGATTTATAAAGATTTAGCCTCAAGTTGAATTTTGTTGTGATTTTTATGGAGTTTAAGCTTAAGATTTTAATATGAATGATATATTTAAAAGAATATAAAATATAATAAAAATTTGACCAGCCTATAAAGCTCCACACAAATGAAACTCTGATCCCAGCCATGTGAGTGGGCTTCAACATGACATTATCAGAGCTAAGATGCCCTTTAACTCCACATTGTGTGGCTGAGACTCTCAGATTATGAAGATATTCATTAAAAGAAACTGTTTATTAAATTAAGGTCAATAAATCATTAAAAAAAAATCTCCAAAGTAGGTCCTTTTATTTTTTCCTCTTAGAAGGAATGAAGGTAGCTTTAAATTAATAAACCTTTCCAGAGTGTTAGATGTTTATCTAGACAATACTAACTTAGTTATAAAGTCTTAATTGGAGGCAAAAATGCTTTTTTTTATCTCCTGAAAAGTTCAAAGTGTGAAGATAGATAAATATTAGATATAGATATATCTTTCTTCCAGCCACGTTATGGATTTCGCTTGTCTCTGAAACATAAACCCAACTCTTTCTCAGATGATGTAATAACAACACGCCACGGACATCAATGTACACTCTTCTGTGGTTGATGACATCACATTGGGATGACGTCTGTGTGCTGGTTGTGTCTTATTAGTCTCTATAGAGTCTAAAGACAGATGGTAAAGAGAAAGAGAAAAAGACGAACAGCTGTCTGACCTGCATGTAGACGCTGTTGTTCTGTTTATGATGAGAATATAAATCATAATCTTTATCCGTGTGGAATTTGAAATAAAAAGTCTTAAAAAAGGTAAAAATGTATGTCACATAAGTATCCAGAAAATATCGAAACAGGAGGCCATCTTGATTCTGCAAACCATTCAAACCACTAACATAACTCTATGAAGAGTTAATTTAGATGTTTTGGTTTTAGAATCAGTGAAGTTAAATATGGAGCCCAAATTCAAAACATTGCTGCTGCTTTTAACCCACTCCTCACCTGATCAAAAAGAGTTTACTGTTATGTGGTTTGAACCCTTTATTGTCTTCAGAACCATCTAATGGGGGGAACATTCCTCAGAGATGTCCATACTGAATGACAACATGATGCTGGGTGATGAGAACTTCCTGTTCCACCACGTCTCTGATGTGATCCAGTATCTGTAGAGGATGCTGGTATTCAGGGAACTCCAATTCGATAGAAATCGCTTTGAAACAATTCAATCTTACGATATGGTTGCATTATCAAGATGTTTTAACCACCAGGAGGTGAAATGTCCCTTTTGTAATTGTCTAAATTAGGAGTTACCTTTTATGTAACTTTACTTGTTTCATTTCTTTATTTTCTAAACATTGTGGAGAGCGTTCTGACCAGCTCGCTCACTGTGTGGTGTGGAGGCTGCAGCGCCTCAGACTGGAAGAAAGTGAGAAGAGTGGTGAGAAGATCATTAGGCATCCTCTTCCCTCCATTAAAGACATTTAATCCCAGCGCTGTGTGTCCCAAGCTCGTAACATCATTAATGACCCCTCTCACCCCCACCATGGACTCTTTCTCCCTGCTCCCTTCTGGGAAGAGGCTTTGCAGCATTCAATGCAGATCCAGCAGATTCTGCAAAACTTTCTTTCTCACTGCCATCAGAAAGATGAACTGTTGAGAAAACTCTATAACTTGTCAAAGACTCACACTGATAACACCAAACCAAAAATACTGTACCATGGTTTTTCTCCCACACCGTTTACATTGATGACTGCTGCACATGGAATCGAAATGTTCATTTACTGTCTGAAAAGCTGCACTAAATGAAGTTTCCTTTTGTTTGCACTTTATTTATACAAAATGACAATAAAAAGTCATTGCAAAAGCATAATTTACATCATCTTATGGTCACAGTTCTAGTCTGTGAACCTTAGCAAATTCCTGCACTATCAACATTTCCATGTTTGTAAAAGAGAGAATGCATGTTAAACATGGGCCTTAGCATGCACGTCGCTGCACGAGCCCATTTCTCCTTGTGCATGCTCTGTTTAAAAGTTGCTGTTTGCATCGCTCATACAAACTTACTTTCCAAAAGAAGATTTGTAATTTTTCCCCTATGTCAGACTCACCACCGGTAAGTGAAATGGGGACGAGCATGAGAACTGCCTTATGTAAACATATCGCCAGAATGATTGATAATTAGGAAGACCACTTATTTTTATGATACACCCAGAAAAAGAACATCCTCTACTATATCTTTAAGCCTCTATATCATTTTCAATAATATATAAATTTTCCTTTCACATAAACCAGGCCATTTTATCTGCATATTTCAATGCATAATCTAATTTTTTGGTGACACATAAGCAGATTCTAAAATATTTTCCCCTGCCAATCTAGCAGAAACAAACCCACCAGGTTCAGACACTCTTAAATCTTCTTTTCCCTCATTTTTGCTGCATGGTGTAAACTTTAACTAGTCGCCATCATCCAGTCTGAACCATTAACTGACCTGGGTTTTTTTTACAGCAGCAGTTCAGCTAGACCTGAAGAAGTGACCTGTGTGTTAAATTAAAGCGTTGAACAGAATTAAAAGCTTTTTCTGTTCACAGAACATAAGTGAAACAGTTTCATTCATTTGTTTTTTGATTTTTTTTTTTATATTTAACACAGTGACTATTCACTGCTGAACTTGAATTGTAGCAGTGAATAATCCTTGCTAACTACAGAGTAATAATGTGTCCCTGCTGTTCTAAAAACAGTCTGTTGAAGCTGTTCATGCTGACTGCAGGGTGACACTGATACACGTTGACAGAGAAAAAGGGGGAAATCAGAGCTCTAAGTCTGCGTGTTTACGGGTTTATCTAGGAACTCTGCATTTTTCCTTCAGGTGTGTCTTTGTGTGAAGGTCCACCTGTGTGCCAATCTTTGGATGTGTTTATGTGTGGGCATACATGCGTGTGAGTGTGCGAGATAATCTGTAATTAAATTCCCGAGTTTAATGGGATTATATAGGGGAGACAAACGGCACTGTGTCCTTGACATCCATTCCTCGGTTAACAACAGCAGAGACACTGATAGGCACACATACTCATTCTCATGTTGCTATATGTAGGGAGGGGAATGGGTTACCTTCCACTGACCTCCATTGATATTCAGTCATTTTCAACCCTTTCTATGACAATAGCCCTAAACCTTACCATTACCAGTGCATTCTTAAACCTAACCTTAATCTAAATTTAATCCACACCTTAGTCCGAAACCAAACAGCAAGAAAAAGAAAGAAAAAAAAAAGCAGAAAAATGTCCTTCCTTTATTACAAATAGTTTTAAATTTGATAGTGAAATAAGAAAAAAGGTCTAACAGGACCTAAAACACATACAATCACAGATGGGGGGAAAGTGAAAGAAACTGTCAGTGGAATTGCCTGAAAGTAGGATAAAAAAATTAGAATAACAAAATAAAACTTAGAGAGATCAAAAGGCTATAATGAAATGCGTGTGAATATATAAACATTAAGGCCTGCATGGCTGGGGGTGTTAAAAAGTGACTTGCATTGTAATTATCCCGTTCTGCTGTGTTACACTGAAGGTCAACTGGCCTTCCTCTCAGCAAGGTCTCCCTAAGCCTAAAGCCAGTTCAGCAAACACAAACATATTCAGATCACTGCAAACACTGAACAATTGGCTTATTTTGACTATTCCTCAAATATACTGACTGATAATTATCTGTTTTCACATCTTTAATTCAAGCTTATGTTCTTTGTGGTAATGTAAACATCGGCCTCTCCGGTGCAGAAATAGCTGAACTAAAACCCAAAGGCTTTGATTCACAGGTCTGTCTTCAAACCTTACCTGGCACAGCAAAAAACAACACATTTTTAGAAATGCTCAGCATCAAAAGAGTTTTTTAGTCATCTGATCAGGATGTTTCCATAGCAACTCTGTCTGTCTGACTAAGAAGAGCACAGAAACTCAATGCAGGGACATAATATCTCTTGTGGCAGGGGGGAGGCTTTGGATAGAGGGACTGTGGAGAGGAATGTCTGACCCAGTTACCTTTGTGGTCCACTTCCCTGAAAATGAATAATTGTTATTCATCATCCATGCTGTTACAGAATAAATCTTAATATGTTCATAAAAAATGAAACCACAGACCCCTTGCAGTCGTCCTGTAAAGCATTTGTTCAAGTTATATTTTAATTTAGGACATTAAAGATTATACAACAGATTCACACACACACTCACACCTAAGCAGAATTTAGAGAAGCTAACAGTAATGTTTTTGGAGTGTGGGAGGAAGCCAGAGTACCTGGAGAGAACCAAAGCATGCACAGGGAGAACATGCAGAAATACTTTGGTGCATGCTATGCAAGGAGGCCGCTGAAACATGAGGAAACCATACACCGTGACTGTATAGAAACATCTATGCAGAATACAAACTGGAGACCCCAAGGTCAAAATGGGATTCAACCACCAAGGTGGTGGAGAATGATGGAGCTAAGTTTCTGTGGGACTTCCAGATACAGCCAAAGTGGTTGTGCCCAAGCAAGTGTGATCACTTATAACCAGCAGAGGACAGCCGTAGTGATCGATGTGATCATCCCAGATAATGGAAACATCCAAGGACTTAGGCAAGAAGTAGGAAGAGCCTGAAAGGTAAAGGCAACTGTAGTATCTGGGAAAACATCTGATAATCCTTCACCGAGGATAGACCATAATAAAAACAAAAAGGAGGTTGCCAAAATGCTGATTTGTACTGAATAAATGCTTTCAATATTCTGATGGCAATGGAAAGAGAGAAAGCTCACCAAGGACTTGGAACATATTCAGTTTGCCTTTTGTCGCCCTCTGTTGGTGAAAGATCAAGTTTCAGTTATGTGCAATAGAATAAAGTGGACTGCATATAGCTGCTGTATGCTATTATGTGATATATACATATATATATATATATATATATATATATATATATATATATATATATATATATATATATATATATATATGACATTTTATGAAAGTGACTAAAATACACTCCTTTTGTGTATTATGAGGCTTTCTCAGTTTAAAAAATGAAGACGTATATTCTTAACCCTTTAAAACATGCCTCAAAAACTAGCTAAAGTGTTTAGAAAAATCCCAGGCGATCTTGAACACCACCTGATTCATTCACTTCCTGTACAGGAAGAAAGGGGATTTCCAGGAAGCAATTGAATGCACCACGCCAGTCTGAACGCTTCAGCGACGGTGAGCGAAGGTAAGAGCTGTCAACTGAAAATAAACTGAAGTTTACTGGTTATAAAGAAGGAACTGTAGTCAGAGAAGTACTGAGTTTTGATGTGACGTTTCCTACCATAACAGTTGTACAACGGGTTGTCTATTGAAAGATAATTTTGCTAACCGAAACAAACTAACTTCCTTTGGCTAACTTTAGGCTAGCAGCGCTATTAAATCTCTGCCCAGAGTTGAAAAGGTTGGACCCTGGAGGTAAAGCAGACCTGCTGCTGCTTTAGCGACGTATCATTACAATTTCTCTCATAATTGTATATGCTACTCATCTTTATTATATATTTTTTTTATTTTACTTTATTTTCAATCTTTAATTACGGTTGTAGCCATGGTGGTTGGCTCACCCAGATTAGCTATCGTTACAATAAACACCGAGTTATTCAAAAAATTATTTAAAAAATGGCGTCAATAACCTCTTACAGTATATTTTCGTCTGTTTTATTTCTTTAAGCAACACCGTGACTGTTGAGCCTTTGACAAGTATGTTCATGTATTCTTTATATGCGGAAGTGACTAAGAAGAAGAAACTCGGCAGAAATATGACTTTCAAATCGTTTAGAGGTCTAAATACGTCAAAGATGGAGTCTAGAACAATCTCACGGCAACAGTAATGTTTTTAGGTTTAGTTTAAGGAATGAAGATCAGTTTTTCACTTGTTTTGTTAGTTTGTACATTGTAACAAATTGTGTTTTCCTTTCTTTAAACATATTTACCAGTGTTATCACGCTGAAAACATTTTTACTTCCATATATTTATGTCAGATTTTAATCTAAATGTGACATTAATTAACATTAAAAATACAGTCCATTATGTAAATATGCCAGATGAAGCCAAATAGACTAAATTGATATGCAATCCCATTCAAGTTAGTGATGTAAAACAGGATTAAAGCATTAAATTAATACTTTGTTTTATCATAACTTAATAATTAAATGCATCACTCTAATTTAAAAGTGATTTGCTTTGCCCTGATTAGATTTCATGGGCTTTCAACATATGTAAGATAGATTTAGAAAACTTGTTGTATAATTGCATGAAGTGTCAATGATGTTTAACAGCATCCACCAAATGTTACAGAGCAGAATTGCTCTTTATTTTTTTATTTATAAAAATGCCTATTTTGTGCTCTGTAGTTTTGTCTGATCAAATCAAAGGCTAAATTGACAATTGAATCCATCTTTTCTTTCTTCAACTTTTATTTCTTCTAAGTCCATAGTAGTAATTAAAACTTTTGAAAATTATCCTTGTAGAAGCATAAAACATCTCATAAAGTATTTTTCTGGTTCCCATTCTTACTAAACCCAAACATGTTCATTTGTTAATGTCTTAATATCCTAGAAATACATTAAGTAACTATAATTCCCATCATTATCAAAGAAAGGGATGTTATCACATGAGAATTGGGTATAGGAAGTTCATTTTTCACAGATTCATCCCATATGAGCAAAACCTATATCACAATAACAATATATTCTTTAATTTCGGATGATATACTATAATTACAATATCAATGTTAGCAAATAACTGGCAGGAATGCTTACAACAGTTTCCGTTTAGAAACTTGTGACAGTTATTTTACAAAGTTTACAAAACTCCTTTCAGAAATTTTAGAAATATTTCCTAAAAAAAGAAAATAACACATAAAACACAGGGGTCAGTCAATGACGAGTGCTGTAATCAACTGAAATGTATATCAAAATACAAAACAACCACATATTACTGTTATTGCATAACATAATATATGTGTTCTTCTATATGAACATATATATTCATATGAAATTATTGTCCACCTTTAATTTTACAATTGTTTTGCTTTTTTTTTTTTTCGAAATTATATGCAGTTACTTAAATGTTGAGGTTTCCAAGTCTGACTCTTGGTGCATTTTGTCATTTTTATTGTGTAATTATAGAAGATCATGAGGTGCTTGTCCTGATTTGTAGAAATTGATATAGTACAGTCTTCAAATAGACCTAAATTCAACCTCGGCTGACATATTAAAATGGAATTATTTCCAATAGAAAGCGTTTTTTAGGGTTATGGTGGTATAGATCGGTTAAGTAAACTTGACGTGTTTACTTTTGAAGTACTTTAACACTTTTCCTTTAATTTGCTATAAGGTATTAACAGTTAAAACTTCATTTGAATTTGGCCTATTTTAAAGGGGAAAAAACCCATTCCTATCATATGCTGAATCTTTTAAAGCTGTTGATTGCCAAACAGGACCTGCTTGATATCCCAGATAACTGCTTGTGCTGCAGAGTAATGTGAATTAAAGCAACATGCTTGCCAATAGTTGTTCAGAATTGTTTTCATGTGAATAGGAATTAGAACTGAGGAATGTTTTCCTGACATAACCGCTGTCATCGTTCCTGCAGCCAGTTACCGAGTCCCTGACTCATCAGAGTCCAGCTGAATGCTGCATACAGCCAGAAAGGCCCAAACAAAGAGCCACTGATGGATAGGAAGCACATAGTTTGGTGCTATTGTCCCTCCTAATGAACCACCAACCTGGGTATGCTAAGCGCTTAGATTCTGGGTGCTCAAAAAATAAAAACACTTAAGTAGAGAGCTGCCACTGTTTCCATCTTCTCAGTTCCTTTTCTTGTTCCCGTCAGGCCCACAGGCTTTACGGCTCAATGTCGTTATCATGTTGACAAGAAGCAGAAGGGCAGGTTGTTTTTTTTCCTGCAGTTGTTCAGTCATTCAGTTGGGCATGTAAATTATGAAGGTTATCACTTTGTAGTAAAGATCTTTACGCTGTCGGGGCTAAAACTATGTGTCACATCAGCCACCGCTAAGAGAGTTTGTGACTAATCTGGAGCTGGCATTTTTCTTTAGATGGCAGGTGAAATAGAAGGCCTAAAATCAGGTGATGGATCTGTTTCCCCTTTTAAAGAGTTTCAAATTTTACTTTATTGGTTTTGTTTCCTAATCTTCTTTAATCAGAACTATTCCATTATACGGAAGGATATTTTGCAACAGCAGTTCCTGATGCTCATTTCGGAATTTTTTTATATGAGAGCCCAATTTATTTTGAATCCATTGTGAGCGATTCACCGCCCCACCAGGCGCTTTGGGGTTGTGAAGAACTGTTATTATAACAGTGTTATTATAAACGCCCCACTATGGAGCATGTAGACGTCACATGTTAGGCTCTGCAATATAGCTTTAAAATTGTATCATGATCATTTATGGTACTGTTATAATGAAAAAAACTCTTTACTAATTCTTTTAAATCACTCTTAGGTAACTATATAGTTGAGACTGCAGACCACAACATTCATAGCCACATAATTACAAATAAATCTGATTAAAATATGGAAATTAAAAATAGGCTTCTTCAAGTCACCTGTTGCATGAAGAAATTAGGGCTGAAACGATTAATTGGATTAAACGGGATTAATCGCTTACTGAAATAATCATTAACTACTTTAGTAGTTGATTAATCTTTTGAGTTTAGAGCCTAAAACGTGTGTTTTGATGAAAGAGCAACCCACTCAAAGCGGTTGTTATACCAAAATTGTAAAAAAAAATATCTTAACATTTTGTATTCTAAATGAAAACCTTTTTGTCCCTTTAATATGCTCTAGAACAGTTTTAGCCTTAATATGTTTCAATTCTGTGTAAAATCTTCTTTTAGGAACTTTTTGCCATTCAATTATTAATCGATTAATTTAAAAACGAGTCAATAGGTTAATCGATTTGCAAAATAGTTGTTAATTGCTAAAGAAAGGTGACCATTATCACTAAACATGATTAACATCACTAAATGTAGTAACCGTGTTTTGTTTTTTTATATAATCAATAATTCTAATGTATTGTTTAGATGATGAATCTAAATTGTTAACATGACTAGAAATTGATCACGATGAAGATAAATATCTCGATAAATGTCTGCCGCCAGTCACACGGTAGTAATTTTGGTTACATCCATGTAATCACAACATGAAGAAAAGTAAGAAAAGGACAAAATGGCGGCCTTTCATTGAGCAGAGCTGAATCAGCTGGAAGGTGGCATGATGTTCAGACTGTGGACGCTTTGAAAACTGATACAAAGACAGTCGGTTATGGGTAGTGGTGGAAAAAATACTCAACAGTAGTACTTTAGTGAAAGGATCAATACTCATAGTCAAATCTTACACAAATAAAAGTAAAACTTATACGGTCAAACATCTACTCAAGTTAAAGTATTGAAGTACTCACTTTTGAACATACTTCAAAAGTACATTAGTTTTATAGTATTTAAGTATTCAAAAATACAAATCAAATTTTGCAATATTAGTACATTTCTGTCTAATTTTTAGAGTAATTTAAAAGAGCCTTATAACTTTCAGAAACCACCTGATGTACTGCCCCATAGAACCATCTGCTACCATTTCTAAACCACCTGTGAAGAACGTTGGCACATAAATCCCCCACAAAAAAAAAAATAAGGATGGCTATTTTAATTATTATTTCTAATTTAAAAGCACATCAAAAAGAAAACAGGAGTCTTGATTCTCCTCACACTTTCATTGTGGAATAGATGGTTACAGATGAACCTGTTAAAAGAAAGAAACCTTAACTGCTTTGAGAACTCATCATACTGAACAACATGGCCACATGGCAACAACTAAGGCCTTAATAATTTTATAAACTACAAATGATATCTGCCCTGACTTTCTCACATTTGTGGAATGTTATGCTAATCTCTAAAACAGTGGAGACCAGATTCAGTCCTAAGGGCTGCTATCTGCCATGTTGAAATTGCATTTCAAGAGAGAAAAACAGCAACAGAGGCTTACAAAGCTAAGCTGAGCTAAAATGAACAAGAAACTAGTAGCTTCCTGAAAATGTAGTGGAATAGAAAGGAGAATATTTAACTTTAAAATGTAGTTGAGGAAAAGCTATAAGTATCCCCCTCAAGAAATTACCCAAGTAAAGTAAAGATACTTAAAAAATGTACATAAGTACAGTAATCCAGGAAAATGTACTTTGCTACTTTCCACCACTGGTTAAAGCTGGTTTATGCTCAAAAACCAGGTCGTCTGCGTCTGTGTCACAGTTAACGCAGATATGCCCCCGCCCCTACACTTTGCTGTACCTATCAAAAATTGTAGGTTACCGCAGAAAGTGCCGCCAACAGGAGGCCTCTGATTGGTCAAATCTACATCTGCTCTACACTACGCGTATTTCCTGTTTGGTACCTTACCGGCTTGTTTTGTTTGTATGAGCGCCATCATGGAAAACAACTCGTGAAGATCAACCAGCTAGAAGACCGATGTGCGCGAGAATGCTGGGACTCTTATTCCACCTGGACCCCCGCTCTTTTTCGCCCTCATGTCCCTCCGTTGCCCCACTTCCTCATTGCATCTGCCGTATCTAGACTCACAGCTAGTTCCCGATTTTCCCTCTTGCGCTGTGGCGTGGAATAACATAGCGCAGACCACGCTTCAAAATTGGACATAAATCAAAAATACCTGTGACACACTGCTGCGGGAGAATAACCACCCCTTTAGCTTGCTTTGTCAACACGGTTCAGTTCCAGGGTGCACCTCCTGTCACTCGCCTCAGAAATAGCTAACTGGTTTTCCTTTCATTTAAATCCTGAAATGATTCTCATAGATAATAATCCATAATTCCCTCAGTTTTTTGGTTTTGTTTCTGTGTTTAGTAGAATCTACCTTGCTATTAGCTAATCCCATTGCTTCTTCCTTTCCCAGATGCAGACCATAAAGTGTGTGGTAGTGGGTGACGGTGCTGTGGGGAAAACCTGCCTGCTCATCTCCTACACAACCAACAAATTTCCCTCTGAATACGTCCCAACTGTGAGTAACCGTATATTAGGCTACTTGGTCCCAGCTGATATCAAGTGGTATTTTATAGACACACAGAAGTGAGATATATTTAACCCTTAAAACTGTGCTTCTGTTTCCTGTTAAACAGGAAGCAATACTTGTTTATAGTGTCTGGACTGAGGAAACAAAACAAAATGAGCTTTAAGGGCTGTAGTGAACTGAAAAAATGAGTATCATTTAACAGTTTGTTAAAGGTTTATACCAGATGATTCTTTAAAATGGATGCGATGAAAACCCATCAATGAGTTCTCGTCTTTCCTTTACAAGTTTGACCTCCTTCAGCTGGGCTGCCTATTTAGCCGCTGTTTGTAGGAAGGTAGGCAGAGTGGCTCCGTTTTATGGATCAGATTACTGCTAGGTGTGGTTCCAGACTGGTTATTATATTCTGACACTAAAGGGATTGATCTTATAGGAACTGGGCGCTTTGTAAGCTGATGTAAACATGGCAGGCCTCCTTTCCAAACAACACCAACACCTTTATTATCAGCTTTAAACTAACTCTGTTTTTGTAAAGTTGTTGAGAACAAAACTTAAGTTTCTAGTTTAATTTTTTATTTTTTTGAAGATTTTATTTCTTTTTCAGGAAATCAAGTTTGGAAACGATCATTTACAGGAATAATTATAAATGGAAACATTATTTCTAAATCCCAAACAGAATGATTTATGATGTTGATTTCTTTGCATTTAGTCTTATGTTGTGGCCGTTAGTGTTGCTGCAGCATCCTGCTGATTAACAGAAGCACCAAACTTGGCTCAGATCCTCCACTGTTGATGCAAACTCTGCGTTTAGGTTTGTGGCATTAGAACGGCTCACTGACTGTTCATTTCCAGGCCCACGTAGCCTATAGGCTGCTTCTTTTGCTCCCACCTCTTAGCTCGGAGTAATGAGAGGTTTGCAGAACCAGCCGTTTCCATTAGTCCTGTTTTTTACTCTGTTTTATTTACTTAAAGATATATTTTCTCTCATAAAACAGTTTCTTCACCATTTGCATATGCTATTTTTTCGTATCCCCACAGTTCTTCAAATCTCATTTGCATTCAGGCCAGTTGTTATTTTTTTTTATTGTTCTCATGGTGTTCAATACATCCTCTTTCTGCCTGTGTTATAAGCCACAACCTGATTATTCTGCAGTTTGCACCTTGTGATACAGATTTTAATATAGCATCTAGGATTTATAACAAAGCTTTAAAGTGTCAGTTTCTGTTTACCGTTTCCAGTTTTAGTTCTTGTCTTAAAAGAAGTCAGACGACAGATGTAGCTCAGTCAACAGATTCATTACAGCTTTGCATGCAGACCTCCTGTTTCCTCTTTGATTCATTGTGTTGCTGCAGCTTCTTGCTTTGTTGTTTCCTGTTAGTCAGCTTAAAGAAAACCCCAAAAAAACACACAACAGGAAATCAAGGAGGGGAAGGAGAAATTATCTTCCCGAATAGTTTACTGACCTGTTAAGGCTGTCTTCTTTTTGGTATAATTTCTTTGGTTTCATTTAAACAAAAAATTATGAGCAGCCTAAATAACAGTATAGATGGTGCACCTGTTATATTCAGTGGTTTATTTTTCGTTACTCCGATACTCCTAAATCGGATGGAGTGCCTCTAACTGCTTTCAGTTTTCATCTCATTTGTCAATTAATGACTAACATGTTGGATTTGATTGCAATGTAAATAGATGCCTTGGAGGATTCTTCTAGAATAATATTTAATTAAAGGCATCAGGACTTAAACAACAAATCAAATTGTGTTCAATTGGTTACTGAAACAACTCCAAGTAAAAAGGTAGTGATAGAATAAAGGTGAGCTAAAGTCTACTGACTGCGTTTTGAGCAGCAGGAGTAGAGCATCTGATGAGCGGAACGCACTGCAAACGCAGCAGCTGCTGGAGTTGGAAAAATTGAAATTTTGCTGCTCGATGCGCCGCCACAACCAATCAGAGAAGCTGATCTGGGAGCTGGCAGGGAGAGAGACACAGCACTGCTGATGCAGAGTGCTATGATCACTCCTGAAGCAGTTCATTAAAGCCTAAATTGATGTAAAATGCCAAAATCTGCCAGCAAAACATGGTTGCTTTTATTATCCTGGTGCCTGCAGTTTAGATTACTTACACGAAAAACGCTTTACAGCCGCAGCGGCACACTGCAAAGTGGCCACCGGGCCATAGGCATGATGGTAATCTGGATGAACTGACAGACAGAAGTTTTCAGGTGCACTTTCTCACTTCAAAATAGATTCAAACTGCTTTTTACCCATTGATAACAGCATATATAGCTGCTATTGTTACAGGCAAAGAAAGGATAGGGTAGCTCCGCCCATCGCGTATCAGACCAACTTTTCCACCTCACAGCCAAAGCAGCAAAGATGCTTCAGCCGTATGGAAGCAAATTGTTATCTTTACATTTCAAAATTAATTTTGGTATGTATTTGCTGGGGTACATTTTGAAAAAATAAATCTCAAATGTCTTTTTCTTTTTCATTTTAATTAAGTAAAAGGATGAGCAGTGGTGAAGAAGAGAATGAAAATGCAAACAGGGTGATTGATGACTAATTTCATTTATGAGTCAAATAATGCAGCCACATTCTTAAAATGAAAAAGCATTTCTGAAAATGCTTTTTCATTTTAAATATGGTAACGATTTGCTTCCATACAGCCGCGCATCACAACTAAACTGGTACAAGCAGCAAAAATGAAGCAGCACACGCGTTTTTTGCTGCTCTTGCTGCTTTAGGTGTGAACGTAGCATAAGACCAGATGTGTCAGGAGTAAATCCAGAAGAAAGCTTGGATTGGGAGTGTTATGTTATTAGATTTAACATCATGGTTCAACCTTTCCCCTGGAAATGGAAAAACAACCTCTGCCCATCATGCTGATCAACCAAAGCTGGAAATAAATGCCACTGTTTTAGATTTGATAAATTAAATTTCCTTCCACTTCTGATTTCAGTCCTTTCCTGGTGTTGTTTTACCGGATTTGAGTTAAAGCTGTAGTTTTAACATCATTTTAAAAGGATCAGTTATTATTTTATTTATATATATATATATATATATATATGTATATATTACACCAATTTACAATAGATTGCGGTAAGTTACAAAGATGGTCAGCTCAGTTACAGGGTTTTAGCTATGCTTTTGATTTCAGTTTAAACCTATGGAGGTAAAGTTAATTAAGTATAAACACAGTCTGGGCCATAGAGCTCCCCTCTTCTACGTGTTTACTAAAGTGTACATTTTTCCCTGGCCTCGCCCAGCTCCTCCTGTTTCCTGCTGCCTGCTTTTGTCCGTACATGTCAGTGATTCACCTCAGGCTCTCTTTCTAGTCCACTTTCTGGAACTGAAATAATGCAAACGAGTCTCTTCATATAACGATGGGGAATATAGAAATTTCACCCAGAAGGCCATTATCTGTTCAAGTATCAAACAAATGTTAAGTTCTCATGAACTTGAATGAGTCTGATTTTTTAAAAATTATTTAATTTTTAGAGGGATAGCACAAGAACAACCGGAAATGATGGTAAATGGTTATCCTCATCAAGCTTTTGGGATGATTTGGTGCTCACTGAGATTAAGAAACACTTTGTTTGGCCCATCCTCATTTTTACTTGAGTAATGAAGCTGTTTTTAACAAAGTGTTAATTTAGCTTTAGATAAATAAAGAAAGTTCAATAAAAATAATATTATAAAGTACTAGATAATACTGAGTTCTGAAAATGTATCCGTGTTTTCAGGATGGGGATTGCAGTGGCATAAGTTTCCTTAGGCCTGTGAATGATAGGATGAATATTACATATTTATCATCTCATAAAGCTTAATTAATAGAAATCAGAGTTTAGTTCAAACTTAAATCTAAGTGCAGAGTTATAAAATCCACACTGTGTGATTTATCTGAAAGCCATGCAGTGTTCATGCAGGCACAGGAAGGCTTTAGCATATTTCTACATTAGCAGAACTGATTTTACTCGCTCAGTTTGCAGGCATGCTGCATGTCAACATCCCTGGCACCAGGTGGGTGAAAACAAGCTGAGAGACTGCAAGCCTATTTACCAGAACAGTTCAGTAAGAAAGCTTTAATTGGAAAACCTTTAATTTCTCTTCTTTAAGGTTTTCCTCTTGAAGAGCAAATACTTGATGCAACCTGCAGCAGCTCGAATACTATAAGGCTGCCTCACATGATTTCTGGCTGCACGAGGGTGGGGCTTTGTAAGGGAAGTAATTTCCACCTCACAAAGAGTAGGTTCCACATAAACAGGAAGTTTATGTTGCCATGGTGATGACGCTGCAAACAAGATATTTGAACCACCTGCAGAGACACACAAACACTTAAAGGCCACATTCTTCTCAGATTTATTCAGCTGACGAACTCATTGGCCAAAGTTTTACAGAAAATAAGTGACCATAGAGTCACAGCAGGACTCCCTGAGCTCTAGCCAGAAGCTTTGGTGCCATTTTGGAAGAAAAAAAATGGATAAAAACATTTCTGCAATGCAAAAGATTAAAAACTAATGCTTTTTTGTTTTGTAAAGCAGGGGACAAACTTTTGTTTTTCTTAATCCAATAGCTCTGAAAAGCAGTAAATACATCTTTCATACAAAGGTTTTTAATTCAGCACTCACTGATTGATGATACGTACACATATATGTTCTCTTTTGAGTGTCAGATTACTGAGTAGGTTTACTGGCTGAAAATATGAGATTGTTTAACTGATTGCACCATGTTGCTGTCAGGGTCACGCAAGCAGCAGATTCAGCTCATCCTTCCTTTTTTTTTGGATGCACCTGTGTATACAAAATTACAAAATAAATCTGTCTAAGTCTAAAAGGCTTTCAGATATTATTTGATTCAATTCAGTTTATTTATATAGTGTCACAGTCAGGGCACTTTACTGATAATTCATTCAAATGATTAAAACAGAGTTGAGCTTTATTCATACAGGATTTTTAATCCCAATGGTGCCAATCTAACCAATCCATTGACATCTGCTGCCGATTGTTGTTCTTTTTCCCTATTTACAATATAAAAAACAAAATGATAACAAATGTTGCACAATTCTTAGCTTAAAAAGCAAAATATTATATTTAATAATGAATCAAACAAAACCTTAACAAGGGATAACAGATAGAGAAGCAGCGACTCAGGCGAAAGCACTAATGAATGGTTTAATGATGGCACATATCGGCCGATACAAGAACAAACGTTCATGTCGGCTGTAAACCTCAGCTAGTAGATCTACCATCTGTTATTAATGTGAATAGCTTAAAGTTTTCTGTCTAAGGAAACCCAGCTGATTGTTTTTTTGACACTAGAGCAATCCCTCGCACCAAGGCATTGCTGATTATGATTAAAACCACGATAAAGGTAAACATTATTACTCATTTATTGGTAATTCAGTTTCTTTTTGGTAAACTGGGCCCCGCACCAACAGCTAGTTGGAGCCTTTCATGATGCTTCTGAAGCTGAACCTGAGCTGGAGAGGAGGAGGGTTAGTTAAACCCCAGATAATCTGAAATTAATAATAAAAAAAAAAACATTTTGATACATTCAAAGGCCTATGGACTAAAAATTTAATCTTTGAAACATGAATATCAGCTCATGAGTTGCTCTGAGGTTTAAGCAATAATGACGTAAACCTGACATGAGGCTTGGATATACCCATTTATTTACCTTCCCTTTATTAAATGGTCCCCTTTTTAAATGGTCCTTCTGAGTTAGCATTCTTCCTTATTTCTCACATTTTCACTTCCCTTTTCCCAGACTTCCTCTCAGCTTATTTTTTAAGTCTTTATTTAATCTCCTTTCCTGTTTCATGCACAGGTCTTTGACAACTATGCCGTGACGGTGATGATCGGAGGAGAGCCGTACACTCTTGGACTGTTTGACACAGCAGGTGAGTCAGACTTTTTTCTTTCTTCCTGATGCAACTTAATTACTATTATTAGAGTTTTCATTTTATCTGTCTCCCTCTACAGGTCAGGAGGACTATGACAGGCTGCGACCCCTCAGTTACCCTCAGACCGACGTCTTCCTCGTCTGTTTCTCCGTCGTTTCACCTTCCTCCTTTGAGAACGTCAGAGAAAAGGTTTGATTACTTAAATCCTGTAGCGATCGATGTTAGTTTTGAAATTTTTATTAATTTTCAGTTAGTTTTGACTTCTGATTTTCAATTCTGTTTTAGTTTTAAAGTCGTAGGGAAATCATATTTAAATGTTAAATCATTCTGGCTTAAACATGTATATAAATGTACTCTTTATTAGACCATATTGTCCCAAAAGTTAGAAAATTTCTATTTAAAAAAAAAAAATCCTGTCTTTAAATTTGTGTTTTTGTTTTTTTTCCCTTTTATCTTATGCAGGCCAGTTAGTTATAAGTCAGCTTGAACACCTACATTCTGCCAATCATATATCAACAGTCATCTGTCAATCAATTTTTTTTGGTTATAACATCTTGATTCATATGCAGCTAATATACGCAACGGTTGAAATAAGCAATAAGAATAATTTACTTTCCCATTGCGCTACGTCCCAGTGTTCACTGGGATGGATTCCACCCTATTCCACTATCCACAGGCAAGGCATTTAGTGGGGGCAGATGAATGTGGCTTTAATGTTAGGCTCTCTGTCTGTTTCCTGACTAAAATAGGTACCTTTAATTATATAGTCTGTCATGGCTGAAATGTTTCTTTTTTCATCACAGTGGGTGCCTGAGATTTCACACCACTGCCCACGGACCCCCTTCCTGCTGGTTGGGACTCAGCTGGATTTAAGAGACGACAGCAACACCTTGGAGAAGCTGGCCAAGAACAAACAACGACCCTTGAGCTCTGAAAGCGGAGAGAAACTGGCACGAGAGCTCAGAGCCGTCAAATATGTGGAGTGTTCCGCTCTGACGCAGGTAACCAGGGAGGGGCCCTATTGTATGCAGACTCTCCCCTGAGCATTGAGGCCCTTATTGATTCATAAATGGCCTTAGAGTGAAACCTCTCCTGCTTCAAAGCTACACAACATCTAATAAACTGTTTGTAATCTGTCAGTTCATCAGTTGTTGTGATTAAGGTTAGCTTTGGGGTTGAGGCCAGTCTTAGATTGTGAGCCATGAAAATAAAGAATTTACAAACTAAAACCACCTTAGAGTTTCAGTGGTTCTCAGTATAAACTTCAGCTCTCATTTGCTTTTCAAATTTAAACCAAGAATTAAAAGATGAGAGAGCAGTTTCTGTGTCAATTTCACATTTTTCATTAAAATGCTTAATTTTTCTGAAAAAAAAAAAAAATCCACCAAGACAATAGTAGATTGGTGCAGAATCAAAGTATAATGATTCAAACTGTATAAATACTTACTAACTATAGCAGGCTGAAGTAACATGAGCTAACTTTATGATAGCTCTGAGAAATGGCTTCTGCTCAGCATTATTATTCTCAGGTTTGAAACAAAACACAGAACATTAGTCAAGCTTTTTGTGACAGAAAGTAGACAAAGGAAGCTGCTTTCCACCTGGACAGGTAATTTAAACACTGATGCTAACCATTAGCAATAGTCAACCTGCCAGTTGCCAGAGAGAAAGTAGCCGAGTGCTCCCCTCACTGGATTAAGGAGTTCAACTTGTAGCTTTTTTTAAATTGTCATTATACTGTCACATGTACAGACCAACGTAATGAGCTCTCTGAATTTAACCCATCCCCTTGGGGAGCAGTGGGCTGCCTTTGTGGGATGCCTGCGGAGCAGTGTGGGGTTAAGGGTCTTTGCTCAGGGATCCTGAGTGGCAGTCTGTTGGAGTGGGTTTCTAACTCAGAACCTCAGGATTCTAAGTGCAATGCCCTTACCACTAGGATGTAGGGTTGTCACGATACTAAACTTTTCAACTCGATACCGATACTAAGGAAAATATTCGATACTCGATACCCTTTTCGATACCACAAGAATAAATACAAAGACTCTAAAATTCAACAGAAATATTTTCATTACTAAAAAAATACAATAAATAAATAAAAAAAACAATAAGAATAATATTTTGAGGTTATATGCTGTGCACAATATTAAGCAAGCTTGATAAAAAAAAACCTTAAAATTAAAATTAAGTGTTCCTTCCTTGGCTATGTTTTGCAGACATAACAATGACACTGACCAAAGCAGTTAAACAAAAATAATTCTCAGCAGCTGCACCTGTTACAAAAAAAGTCTGAAACTGAAAAATGCACAGAATTATTCAATCACACAGTGTTCAGACAGTGCATTTTCCACTTTTTTTGCACTTTAGATGGCTGTATCGATACTTTTTAAAATGAGTATTGTATCCGGATACAATGTTTCGGTATCGATACTTTTTTGAGTATCGATACTTTTGACAACCCTACTAGGACGCCACCTTTTACTTTTGAATATGGAGAAAATGTTGTTTCTGGCTCTGATGTAACAGGAGTGAGTTATGAGTTTTTTGACAAACCTGGAGGGTTACTGTAAAGCAGTTGGATGTTTTTAACCCCATAGTTTGACCTGCTACCATCTGATCAGTAAACAGATAAACATGTTAGAAATGTAACCTTGAATAACTGGTTGTTGAGTATGCAATCTAACATACATTTACGGTATATTAGTTGCGCAGCTGTTAACACCCCCTCTATGTGATCGTAGTTTTATCCTGAAGCTTGTTCCTTTTATGCTGCATCCGGTTCATACAAAAACCTCACTGACATCTCTATAAACAAATTCAGTTAAACCAAACATAGCTGATATTTCAGTATATTTTACAGAGTTCAAAACTTTCTAAAGTTAGAGTCCTTTAGTGGCGCACTAGCTGTGATATTAATGTGCCTTTTAATCTTCTGAAATGAGAAAGTAAAAAAGGAACTGCTGTTTCTCTATATTGTTTTATGAAAATTTGGGGTAAAAAAATGTATCTTGTTTTTATTGTTGGTTTCAGTTTGAAAAACAAGTTATACATGGGTTGGTAAACATTCAGACACTATGGTTTTTGGTTTGAAACCAATAAGGAGGAAAACCCCCAGAAACGGACCCGTATTTTCATTCATTTGAACCAAAAGAAAATGAAAACTAGAAAAGCACTCTGAGTGTATAGCTCTCATCCAAGCAGCTAATTCTACACCACATTGTGATTTACTCCGATTGCTAAAACTCTCACATGATCTGGATCATCTCCAAATTTTAATGGATTGTTCCATGAGGCGCACCTCTGGTAACAATTTCATTAAGATCCATTGATAAGTTTTCAGTTAATCCTGATAAAAACCTTACAACATTCCCTTTTCTTGTGTTATTTTATGTTTGTCTTCAGTATAATACTTCCAGACTTTTTGAGTCCGAAGCTAAATAGTCACTGCTGCCCCCCTCGGGTTCAGGTGGGAACTGCTTGTTCCACCAAATATCCCTATCTCACAATTAGATTTAGAAAAACCTTTATAAAATTTATGTATCCTGATTATGACCTGGATCAAAACCAAAATGTAATCATTTATTGCCATTCAGCTTCTCTACAAATTTCAGCAAAATCCATTCAGAACTTTTTTAGTTATTTTAAAACAGACGGACAAACCAAGGCCGATGTAAACATGGCCTCATTGGTGGAGTAATAAACTGTAATGGGGTCTCACTCTTAGAATAAGCTTTTTAATGAGACAGTGGATGGCACAGTTACCATGGTGATCAGCCCGTTCAAACAGAGCTTACTTCATGGTTTTACAAACTGACCGACAGCATCAGAGACTGAGGTGTTGTACTTTTTTTTGTGTGTGTTTGTGGGGGTTTTTTTTATGCAGATGCACACAAAAAAAGTCACAACAGAAGGTTTTCTGGGAATAAAGCTCAAATAGATTGTCTAATGTTCACTTAAAGCTTCATCCAGTATGCAGAGCAAAGGGGATTTCTTCTAGTAATAACAGAAAACAGTTTGCTATGTGATTTCTTTTTGTTTCGTTCAAAAACATTGTTCAGTTTTAGGGATTTTCTTCATTTTCTGTTTGAAATGAAAAACCATACTGCCTGAAAATGGGCTCTGAGAATATGCCCTCCAGCCTGCTAGGTCTAAAGAACTGTTGGTCCTGTTTTTCCAAGGTTAATTAAAATGAATAGAATTTATAATTACACCAAAATGTTAAATAACTGAGCTTGTTTTTATAACAACAGTCACATAAATAAACATTCTCCAAGCTCAAACTGACAGGTTGGTATTTATAGCTTTGAGTGTTGCTTCAATTTTCACATGACTGGACCTGTCTTCATGTAACAGGAATACATCTGCTTTGCACAACACCTGCAGTAAATCCCTTCCAATGCTGCTCTGCAGCTTTAACCAGGGTATTTTTTACCAATAAGCAGGAACATATTAATGAGAAAGCTTCCACTATGTCAGTTAGCGGATTCATATTATTTTAGTTTCTGATACTATTGCTTTTGGATGGTGTGGTAATAATTGTTTATAAAGGTGCTGCAGGAAGTCCTGAAACGAGATTTTGAAAGACCGCAACACTTTCCGTTGATGTAACTTTATAAGCTATTGTTACATGGTTGTGAGCTTTTAGTTTATCATTGTGTAACTCTTTATTAAAAAAGGGAGTGAGGGAGGAATTAATAGGTTAATATTCACCACTCTTTTGGAGAAAGAAAATAAGTGGTTTGAAAGGGATGTGAAGGAAGCCATTTACGTTAAGAGAGAAAAACAAACCTTAAACAGTAGAGGAGCACTTGGGTTTCAGCTCTTAAAAAACCTACAAGGCAGCGATAGAGTTGATTCCTTCCGGGTATCCTCTCAATCCTCATCGCTATGCTGGAATTCAAAACATCGCTCCTGTAAGCCAGGTCAATAACGAGCCTAATGACTCCCCATTATAGAGGTGTGGACCTGTTTTTCTCTTCAATTTGCATGTTTTCTAAGCAATAACAAGACTAGGATAAGGATACACACTGACATTAGGACTTAAATTTGAAATGAAACAAAACTAAAAGCTAAAATAGTTTCACTCTTTCCAACTAATTCAGAATCACTGAAAATCACAATTTTTATTAGTAATTTGTTGTTCAATGTATGACTGTATTGACTACATTTCTTAGTGTATAGGCGTGTTTAGCGTCACTAAAAAATGTGAAAAAAAACAATGAAATTTCTCTCTGTCTCCCTTTCAGAGAGGACTGAAGAACGTGTTCGATGAGGCCATCCTGGCAGCTCTGGAGCCCCCAGATATCAAACCCAAGAAGCGCTGCCTTCTCCTATAAAAGCCTTCCAGAGGAGGACGAGGAGCAGAAGAAGGTGTGGACGGATGAGGAAGAGATCAATCCTCTATGGGAACAGAGGGAGGGAGCACCAAGGGGAGGGATGTAGGGGCATGTTTAAACAGTGCCTTCAGCCGTAGTGACCTAACATGGGTGTGGTGTTGGAACTGACTGGCGCTTTATTTTCCCCAGTAAATAGAAGTCCCTCTAATACGGTTAACATACATCAACTACACTCCACATTAACAAGTAAACAGGGTTTGGTTTTTTTTCGATAACGGAGCGAATGAAGAGGTTTGAACCTGCGAAACTCGGATGGAGGCGAGTTTACAACTGAAACTGATGGTCGCCAGGAAACCGAGGGAGATCCACATCGCTGGGGTTGAAACCGCCTCCCAACCTTTTATGTGCCAGCTTTCACTTCTCTGTTCAACAAGTTTAATGTTTATTTTCTTTTTGATCTGTTTTTTTTCTTCATAAATTTATTTCTAGACAAGAAAATGCATTTTGAATCTATTTACTGCTGTTTTCTGTTTTCTAAATAGCATAACTGAAAGGTAAATAGCAACACAGTAGGTGTTTTATTTATACCACAAAGAGATTTAAGGTTAGTTTTTGAATAAAAACAGAAATAACGTTCTTTATAAGTAAGGCTTTTTTAATTAAGTTTATATCTTTTCAAACAGAATATCTGTTTAAAAATGTCCATATCCAAACGTTTGCTACGAAATGATGGATTCACCATGATGGTTTTTGCTAATCAAAATAATTGACCTGCAGCTTCAGACACTGACTAATTGATCCTTTCCCTTGATCCTAAAAATATATTTGCTGAAAACAAAACTACAGCTCAGCTGACTTCCCATTCGAACCCGTCTGTTCATGTAGGTCTGTAACTAAACTCTTTAACAGTGAAAACTTTGCCCTCATTGAGAATGGGGTCATATGAACTAATGGAAAAACATGACGAGCAGGAACGACAGGTTTGTCTGCATGGCAGCAAACAAGATTTAGCGTTTGACCAAAGGTGGAGAAAGGAACTGACATTTGATCCTCCAGACCTGCAGTCGCCAAAGCATTTGACCCCCTGAACCAAATGGCTCCCATCAACCCGATCGTTACCTTTGTCACTTTTTGTCCTGTATTATATTTAAAATTGCTTTCCCAAATGGCAAATAAGACATTAAAGTGGGGAAAATAAAGGACGGCATTTTAGCTGCATCTCAGGTTTCTGCCACATAAAAATCCAAACCTGACGTGCCTTAATTTTCCTGCATCCCTCCGACTGTTTGAGCCTCACAGCTCTAAAAATCCCATAAACAACAATTATTATTCAACACGCTTCAAAGTCTTAGTGCCTAAATCCAGTCTGATCCCTTAGTTAAGGGTTTCTGGAGTTGCTTTCATTAAATAGTGGAAACTACCCTATATGTCTGAATAATGACAGTTTTTCATAACCTTAAGCTGTTTAATCAGTCAGAATGTTGAGAAATGTTGTATTTTGTTTAAACAAGAGGAGGAGAACAAGAGGCCTGCTCGGTAACACATGTTCTGTTCCTTTTTTTTTTGCTTTTACTGCCTTTTTCACCTGAAAGCCTTAAAGGGCCACATGGTTCACATGTTCCCTCTGTCGCCAAAGTTTAGCTGAATTGTTTCTAAAGAATGTGGACGCCGACGATAATGGAAATACTATTCGAAATACCTTTGAGATTCTTCCCAGGCTTTGTTTGGTTGCTCTTTTTGGCCCAACCTCTGAACTAGACAAAGACTGAAAGCTATCGTTAGCAGTTTCAGCTTCTTGCTCAGCCTTTGTGCTTATTTAACAAACTATAGATTATTTTTGCATAGAATGTGTAAAATGGTGAACTATATTACTCTGTGTTGTTTCAGTGTTCTCTGTCCTGAGCCTAGAAAACTACGTTAACCCTTAAAATGATTGTTTTTCTCTCAAATGAACAGAAAATCTTTTTAAAAACAATCTGTTGACATTTTTTGATCAGATGTTAAATGAATTATGAGTATTATTGATATTTTTTGCTTCTTAATTGTTTCTTTGGGGACGATATTCTTGGAGGGTTTTAGACACTTTAGGGTTTAATTTTTATTTTCTTCCCTCTTCGTACTTTTTAGATATTTTTACAGCTACTTGATGAACACACAGTGCCAACAGTTAACCACCCGGTTGGTCTGCTAAGCAGGAGCTTGCCCTGTGCAGAGATATTTCAAAGCAATACTTAAAGATCAATAAACATTTGTTATGCATTAGAATTTGAATGTTCGGTGTGGTGGGTTTATGGAAATAATAAAAATAGTACTTGAATGTTTTACCACCTTGACTTGATTCTGCTTTAATCACTTTTATTTGTCAGTTGGAAGAGGAGCAGGTTTCGGGATTTTTTTTTTTTTTTTGTTCACTCTTTCTGGTTTAAACTCAGAAATATACGAGGAAAGATCGGTTCAGTTAAATCCAATTATTGACTTGAGAAAAATGATTTTGGTTACTATACATGAAATAAAAACATTAGTATCCAGGAAACAAAACACATTTTCATTTCATTTGTAAACTAACACAAAGGGGCTTAATGTTGGACATTCTTCCATGATCTTTATTAAATTCAATCCATATTCCCAATAAGTCTGACCATAAAGCGCCTCCCCACAGGATGATGCATCCAACGCCGTGTTTAAAAGCTTCATATTTCTTTCACTTTCTTCTCGCCATTTAACTGTCTGGCCAGCTTTGTGATATTCAGGACTGATAGTCAGTTGCAGACCTTACAGTCTGAGCTGCAGCTCCTCCAAAGTTACCACTGGCCCTTTGGCATCTTTTCTGATTATGGCTCTGTTATGCCACCCATCATATTTTTGATTCTGCAGTCTGTTATTTTTATTGGTGTAAGAGAATCAAGGGTCCTGGGAAATGTACAAAGCTTTCTTCAGCAACATGTCTGCCTCCAGACAGGTCTGTTTATCTGTAAA